GGGGGGGGGGGGGGGGGGGAACAACATTTTGTTTTTACTGACTGTTAAAAAGTTGTTTATTATTCAAATAAATATTGTTTATTGAGATATCTAGAAATAGTGGAAAAAGGTTTTCAAGAAGGAAAATAGCCTCAAAAAATGTGTCAATTTTCAACATCCCCAGTGCCCCCTCGTAAAAAGACGTAACTTAGGTTGAAAGCCTGAAAAGAAGTTAAAATTTTAAAGATCTCTGAGGAGTGATGTTATGCCACAGATTCAGAAGATTAGGAGATTATGGAAGCAAAATGTTTCCACAATTAGGCATGAAATTTAACTGGAACATAATGTCTGAAAGTGAATCTCCTTAGTGTTTTTATTTTTCTTTAATGTGGTTAATTTCCTAATTTAATTCTATTGTGTCTAGTATTGTATGTCCTCAGAGAATTGACAACAAAACTCAAGTGGGAACAGATAAGACTTTCCTAGGATAAGCCATCTGTTGGGGATAAAATATCCCCTACCCTCAACTTATATCAGCTTAAAATTTTTTTTTGTTTGTTTTTTTAATTGTAAATTGACAAATTATAGTTCTATACCTTTTTGGGCTACAAACTGATGTCATGACTATGAGTACATTGTGGGTTAGTTAAATCAAGCTAATTAACCTATTTATCACCTCACATACTTACCCTTGTTTGTGGTGAGTATATATTTGCTCTTGTAATACCATCAAACAAAGCAAGACTTTAGACTTGATTTTTTTTTTTCCTTTTTGTCTTTTTTTACTGACCGGTAACAGGATTGCAACCCTTGGTGTCGCGCCCGTACTGGGGACCGGCAATGGGATTGCAACCCTCGGTGTTGCATCCGCACTGCGCTCAGCCAGTGAGCGGGAACTGGTCTCCACATGGGATCCAAACCCTCGGCGGGAGCGCTGCCGTGCTCCCAAGTGGCGCACTCTCCAGCGCCACTGGGCCGGCCCATAGACTTGATTTTTATTTAATGTTTAATTGTGCAATCTTTATGCCAGTGTAATGGAAATGTAGGCAGTATATTTCTGTACAACGTGAACCATTGAAATGCTAGTATGTAGTAATAGTGGGTGTTCATAGTAATAATTGTATTGTCATGAAAATGTTAATTGGCATTATTCTGTTTGAAGGTGTACTGTTTAAGGGAGTAGGGAAACATTTTAGAAGCAGTTCAAGATTTAGATTTTTCTATTAAACACAATTATCTTTCAACTATCTGGAAAACTTATCTTACTTGAACAACTGAGAAAGGTTTGTGTTGGCTATGGTTTTATTATTATACTGAAAAATAATTTAGACCAAGAGCCATCCACACTTAAATTAATTAGTGTGAAGACTGGGATGTGAAGGAGCTGATTTTCACAAATCGATATATCTAATAACTATGGATTAGGTTACTGAAATAAATGTGGAAGATAATTAAAATTAGAAAGAGTAGAAGGGAGTGTGTGGGGAAAGATTAGTATACTTATAAAAATTAATTTTAAAAAATGGAGTCTCTAGGGAAATAGTAATTGATTAAAAAAAGAGAATGTGTACTATTCTGATAGACAGGGAATGCAATTAAAATAGGTAAAGTTCATTTGAATAATTCGCACATTTTTTGTTTTCATGCTTTATAATTTAAGGTCTTGAGCAATGCTTATTAGTACTTTAAGACTATAAACCCAAAACCTCTTGGGAAAAAGTCATTCTTGTTTAATAAGGAAGACAGTATCTAATATATATGATACTGTATATTATTATATATATTATATATAATTATATATATGTAAGTACCTTAAACATATAGGTATATAATTATTGGATGAATAGGCAGGAAAAGTTTTGTACATCCAGTAGACAGTTTTAGTTAGAGCAGACATAAACTAAAAGATAATCATGTGCTAATGCTGAAATCACTGCTGGTCATTACTGGGAAGTGTGTTATCTATATTATTGATCAGGGTGGAAATTTACTGTATGCTTTTGTTTGATTGGTACACATTTCTGTCTTCCTCTCTATAGTAACTACCTGTATGTAACTTGTAGTAACTCATTCATATACAGTGGAAAAAAACCTTTCCACTTTGGTGGGTAGGAAGTGGGATTTGGGGGTGAGGGTACATTGAATAGCAGAATTGGCAGTTTTCCTTGTGCCAGATTGTACAAGGAACCACGTGGGACTTAAGGAGAGCTGTGAGGAATTCACTGTGACACTTCTCTAGCTCTGAGAGGCATGGGGAATTTATAGCCAACAGTCATTTATAGTATAACTTGATGGCTCAGTGCCTATTTTTTTGTTTTTTTGTTTTGAACAGAGAGCATCAAGTTAGTACCAAAAAAGAATAAAGGAAGGGGGTTAAACAGGCCTTCTCTCCTCTGTTTAGAGCATTCATTCCTGGTAGATGAGAATTATGTATAGCATATTGCTTTCAACTCACAAAGGTTCACTTAGAATTAGTTTAAACATATATAAATGGTAACATCTGATAGAGTTTACACACACACGCACGCACACACATGAAATTTATTCTGGTCTGAGCCAAAATTTTTGTATTTCTAGTTAAATTTTAAGTAATAGTATTTTTATGATGTTGATGTATTTTAAAATAAAATGTGTGAAAATAGCTCACCTTAACTTGGAATTGAATTGGCTATGCTGAAATGAGCCATTTTGTCAAGTTCTAAGTATGTGTTACGTGAATATGATAATGTATGCATTCATTCATCACATATTTGTTGAACACCTACAAAGTGGCAGCCACTTTTTAGGAGATGGGGATATATATTGGTAAACAAAACAAAGCCTCTGCCTGCAGAGAGCTCACATTTTAATGAGACATTTCAGTCAGAGAGTTGTGGAAGTGTAAAGACATGGAGGCCTGAACAAGCTTGTGTTTGGAGAATAGCCAGAAGGCCAGTGAAACTGGAATACAGTGAGTAAGTCAGGGGGAGAGTGGAAGGAAATGAGATCAGAGACAAGGCAGAGGTAGTATCATTTAGGGCCTTGAAGACCAGGAAAAGAATTTGGATTTTCCTACAAGTGTCATGAGAAATCATTGTAGGGTTTTGAACAGGAGAGTTGTGTGATCTGAATTATATATATATGTATACATGTATATCTATGTATATGTATTTATTCATTTAAAAAATTACTCTGGCTGTGGTATGGAAAAGAAGCAGTATAGGGGCAAAAATGGAAACGGGACAACAGATGTTGCAGTCATCCGGATGAGAGATGATGATGGCTTGGACCAGGGTGCTAGAAGTGGAGGTAGTGAGACAAGGTCAGATTGAAATCACTTTTTAGAGTTAGATCTGATATCACTGACTGATACAAGGTGTGAGAGAAGTCATGGGTGATTGATTTCAAGGATTTTGGCCTTAATAGCTTAGTGAGTGGTTGTTTACTGGTTTGCTAAGATGTATGAATATTTGTGCCAAATTAATTCTAAACCTTTACCTCTTAAATGAGAAGGGATTATAACAATGTTATCTTAAGTATGTGAAATTTTAAAAAATCATCACAAAATTTTTTTTTTTGATAGGCGGAGTATGTCCAGCTTGTTACTGAACTTCGAATGACGAGAGCCATTCAGCCTCAGATCAATGCTTTTTTACAGGGATTCCATATGTTCATTCCACCTTCCCTCATACAACTTTTTGATGAATATGAATTGGTAAGGAAAAACATCAGTTCTTTTGTTGTTACAGAACCACACAGAACTCCAGTTGGTATAATTCAGAAATAATTTTGGAGTGCTGTAATGAATGGAATAATATATAATGAGGCATTATGGTTTATGTTCCTTTTTGGAGATTTGTTATAAGATTTATGGTTGTACTTCTCTTAAGCTTAATAACCAGATTAGCAATTTCTTAATGTGACATGGGGTGAGGTGGTGATAAACAAACATGGGATACATTTCTAATGTCTTCTACAAGATGTTGAAGGTCAGTCTACCCATAAACAGTATTCCACATTATTTCTGAATCTTACATTTGACCATATGAAGTAAAGGATGCTGATACTAGCATTTTTTTTTAAACTTTTTTATTTTTAACATTTATATGTATATATTTGTGGGGCACAGTATGTTGTCTCAATATATGTATATACAGCAAAATGATTCACTTAGGATAGATAGCATAGCTTTGTACCCATTAGCCCACCATCCCTGCCCACCCCCCTCAAACCATTATTCTACTCTCTACTTCTATTGCTTCTATGAGAACTGTTTTTTTTTAAGATGACACGAGTGATGTCATGTGGTATTTGTCTTTTTGTGCCTGACTTACCTCACTTAGCATGTTTCCACTTCCATCCATATAGCTGCAAATGATAGGATATCATTTTTTTAATAGCTGAGTCGATACTTTTGTACTTCCAAAAAGATGAATTAAGAGAGATTTTCTGTTTGTATTTGTGTTATCTTCAGCTTTTTCTTTTACCATATATGTAATTTTATAATTCTCTATTTTAAACCTATGTGGAATCCATTCTCTTCGCTGTCCTCTAGTCCCTGATGAATATTTTGTATTGCTCCTTTAATTTGCCTTTCTTTTACTATGATCTAACAGGATTTCTAATTTTATATGATTATGTCAGCAAATTTTTCTTCATTTCCTTTTTCTCTTTTATTTTTGGTAGTATTTATTTTTAAATTCTTTGAGTTGTTTAAATCCTTAATAAAACACAGTATTTTGAATAAAGTATGGCACCTTCCTTAAAAAATTATAATTTGAAATAATAAATTTTAGTTCAATGGAAAAGTATCTTTTGGTTTTATTGTCTCATAAAATTAGTTTTACCCAATGCCTTTCAGTTTAATATATGAATAAAGACACATATATACCTTTAATTTTACATACACATATCTTTTTCAATTTATTACTCATAGGACATAAACAAAATTTGTATAGTACTAAAAAATTTTGCTAATTAATTTCGAAGTCCATTATGACATAGTTTTATTAAATGTTAAGTTTCGAGGTTTTTTTATTGTGCTTTTAGCTGTAAGATTAATGGCTCTGTTTAGTATATTCATCTAGTTTTTATGTAACTATAAAAGTTATTATTTTTAGCATTTAAAAAGGAAGTAGTATATATGAACTGTTATTGAACTTAAATCTGATTTTTCCTATAATTTAATTCCTCAGATTAAATTATCTTTGAGAAGTTTTATGGATTCTATGGACCTATGTATATGTAAAAAAACAAATAGCAACAACAAAAATAATTGACGAAAACTTTGACTCACAATTTACTGGTACTGATAAATTTATAAACTTTTTAATTAAATTATACATACAGAAAAGTACATGCATCATAAATGTTTATTTAGCTTGACAGGTTTTACCAAACTGGACACACCTATGAAATCAGCACCCAGATTAAGACACAGAGAAATCCTAGTACCTGACATGCTCCCCATGTGTCCCCTTCCAGTCACTTCCCCCCCTTAAGGATAACCATTCCCTTGACTTCTAAAATCATAGATTGTTTGCCTGTTTTTGAACTGTGTGTAAATAGAGCGTATCTGGCTTTTTTAGCTCAGCTTTTTGTTTGTGAGAATCATACATATTGTATGCAAGTATAATTTGTTCATTTTCATTGCTGTGTAGTATTTCATTGTGTCAATTTCCTTTTGTCTTTTCTACTCTTGATGAACATTTAGTGGATTCTTTTCAGTTTGGGGCTATTTCAAGTAGGGCTGCTACAAACATTCTAGTGTATGTTTTTAGGAGAACATAGGTATGCATTCTGTAGGTTATATGCCTTGGAGTGGAATTGCTGAGATATGTGATGTGAATATATTTCACTAAGTGGTGTGTCAGTTTATACTTCCACCATCAGGTGTGAGATTTCTGGGTGTTCCACATCCTCACCAGCATTTAATATTTTCTGTCTTTTTTATTTTTGCCATTCTGGTGGATCAGTAGTGGTCTTTCCTTGTGATTTTACTTTGTATTTCCCTGATGACTAATGAAGTTGAGCACTTTTATGTTTATTGGCCATTTGTGTACTCTGTTTTTGAAGAGTCTGTTTAAGTAATTTGTCTGCTTTTTAATTGCTTTCTGGTTTTTTGTTGCTAACTTGTAAGATTCCTTATATATTCTTCATATGTCTTGTCAGATACATGTATTGTGAATAGCTTCTAATCTGTTGTCTTTCAATGAATAAAATTTTTTGACTTTAACACAGTTCAATTTATCCATTTTTTTCTTTTTATTTTTTTGGTAATGAATGGAGCTTTTTGTGTCTTGTTTAAGAAACTCGTTATTATTCCATGGTCATGAGGATATTTTCCTATGTTTTCTTCTAAAACCTCTATTCCTTTATCTTTCACATTTAGATCAGCTGTTGGAAGTTTCTAATTGTGGTTCTTATATTAGAAATTAGGTCAGGTTTCCTAGTTTGTCTTGAACTCTGGCATTACTGAGTTGAGCTGATCCAGATGGTGGGATTATTTGGGAAAAGCAACAGTGTAGGCAGGAATCTAATTTATGCAGTGATAACATTGACAATACTTATTAAGCACTTGGCATTTGCCACTTGCTTTGTATGTATCACCTTTTTAAATCTTCAGAGCAAACCTCTGAGATAAATAATATTATTCCATTTCACAGATGAGAAAACTAGGCCAAAGACAGCTCATGGTCTTAGAGTAAGTGTTGGAGCCAGGCAGTGAACCAGTGTTCTCTGACCCTAGAGCCCAGTTTCTTTCAGTATTGCTACACTGCCCCTTGGTAGCATGTGCAATAAGTGGAACTTGGTATTAGAACCGTTTGTGTGACTTTGTGTCTTTCATAGGAAAGGATGATGCCACACTGAGAGAGGAAACTTTAAAATTTGATGCAGACATCTAAGCTAGATGTGCATTTGAGTTTAAGGATTCAGGTTAGATACTAGAGTTTTAGTTCAGGGAAGGTATCTAATAGCTCCAGTGTCCAGCTGGAGGCGTATTCATCCTTTGTGGATAGAAGGCAGTCCCAAGTCAAGAGGTGATTATTGGATTAAAAAATGGTGACAATAGTGTCATAAATACATCTGTAATACTATTGCAGTTGAGGGGGGTTCCTACCAAATGTCTGAGGGACTGGCCTTCCGTGCCATGCTGCTCATGAATTTATTCATGATGGTACCAGAATATAAACACATTGAGTCATGTGAATACTAGGTAAGCTGAGAGCTGTGAACACTTGGCATGACTCAATTTCTGACCATTAGTATGGGTTATATACATTACACCCTGTTCCAGCAGACAAATTTAATTATTTTGTCATATTTTTAAAAAATAAGTGTTGATTGGGACTTAAAATATTTTTGTTGTATATACTTTTTGTTGGGGTATTCCCATTTCATCTATTTGGTTTTGGTCAATTTAATAACTTTTTTTTTTGCCTAGTTAAACGCGATAATAAAGATCTTTCTTCACAAAAAATCATAACAGATAATATGATATTTATGAAATGCCTCAAATTTCTTGGGAGAATATAGTCTGTCATTTTTATTTGTAATTATTAACAATGAAAGCATATTTAATATAATTAAAAGCTTCTATCTTCAGCCTAGAAGAGGAAAGGATTAAACTCATGAATTGTAAGAAAAATTCATCCCCACTCTCTTTTGGCAGATCTGTATCAGGGTTTTGCCAGGGAACAGAATTTCCCCAGATGGTTCAAATAAGAAAACTTTAACGAAGGGACTATTACAGAGGTGTGGGCAGTGTTAAGAATAAAGAGGTTCTGGTGAGATATGCAGAGATGGGCAATATTGGAAAGCCTCTATCATCCCTAGGACTGAAGAGACCTGTGATGACCTGAACTGCTGAGGAGGGTCCACCTGGTGGTAGCCATAGTTGAGGAGACCTGGCTACTGCAAAGACACGGCACTGAAGCAGACAGGGAGCAGAGAATACCCTCTCCTTCAGACTGCTGTTTATTTCCCAGTGGCCAAACTCAACCCAAAGCCAGCAAGCAAGGGAATCAGTCTGCAGTGCAAAGGAAAGTGGAGAATGTATTTGGGGGTGGTAAATGGAAACTAACTAGAACATCTTCATCCAGTAAGAGTATTTTATAATACTGTAGCAAGGAGGACTAAAACACACCCTGTACTAGCAGTTCTGTAACTTTTTGGTTTTGAGACCCCTTACAGCAAAAGAGTTTTTGTTTATGTGGGCTGTATCGATGAATATTTACTGTATTTGAAATTAAAACATAAATGTAAAATATTTTTTTAATTCATATTAAAATAACAGTCCACCATATATTTACAAAAATCTTAAAACATTTTAAAAATGAAAACTTTATTTTGCAGAATAAAACAAAAACGGTAGGAATAGTGGCATTGTTTTACTTTTTTTTTTTTTTTCCTTTTTGTCTTTTTTACTGACCGGTAACGGGATAGCAACCCTCGGTGTCACGCCCTTACTGGGGACCGGCAACGGGATCGCAACCCTCGGTGTTGCGCCTGCACCACGCTCAGCCAGTGAGCGGGAACCGGTCTCCACATGGGATCCGAACCCTTGACGGGAGTGCCGCCGTGCTCCCAAGCGGCGCACTCTCCAGTGCGCCACCGGGCCGGTCCTGTTTTACATTTTTGCAAATTTCTTTAATATCTGGCTTAGTAGAAGACAACTGGGTTCTCATCTGCTTCTGCTTGTGATCTGTTGTAATATGTTGTTTGTTTAAAGTATATGAGGAAAATCCAACCTCACACAGCTAAGTTAGAAAAGGGAGAACCTTGCAGACCCACTGAATAGATCTCAGAAACCCCTAGGAGTTCTCAGACATTGCCTTATATTAGTTTTATTCAGAGCATGCTCTGTACTAGTCAGGTATATGTTATGAGTAGTTGCCTTAGGAGGCATGATTTTGAACCACGTTGAAACTACCTCTCTGTAATAACAAACCATGCTCTTCTGGCTTAGTGTAAGTAAGTATATGCCAATCATTGCTTCCTTGACTGTGGAAGCATATCCAACTGTGCAGTATGGACTGATTCAGAGATGTGGACAATCTTTTCATGTCTCTTTTCCCTTGGAAAATCTAATGGTAGAAACTTCGCCATTTCTAACAATTTCATTTCTAGTTATATGATTGAGAATTGTGTATTTGTTTGATGACCTTCCTGGAAAAAAGTAGCCTATCAAGATTTACTAGCAAAATCACATTTTTTTCTCACTCTGTGGAAAGTAGACTTTAAAGGATTTGAATTATTTCAGAATAAAGTTCCCAAGAGGCCTAAATCCTTTTTTTAAAATAGTAACTGTTTTTATTATATTACCTCCTTTTTCCTAGGGATAAGGATTTCTTGACAATCTTTCCCTTTGTTTCATCCAGTATTTATTCAAGTCTTTGTTGACACTTTTCATGTTGAGAATATGGTCTCCTTATAAAATTTTACAAATTTTCAAAGAATCATAAAATAAAAATAAACATAAACCCATGAAAATGTTCATAAAATGTTGCATATATAAACTATTATTGTATATGCTTATATATAAACATATAAACTACTATCTCTTTTTATGTTTTAATTAAATTGTGCCAGTGTGGAGACATCCCCATATCTCACAATATTTGCGATTATTATTATCAAGGATTCTCTCTTAGGTAGTGCTTGTTATTGATGACATACAGAAACTGTCACAAAAATAAATCAGTTCTACGTGGGATTAGTTTTTAATTAAGACAAATTTACTATTTAAATGTAATAACTTTTTTTCCCAAAGAAGATTAATGAAATATTTTTTCTTCTTCCCAAAGGAGCTACTGCTTTCTGGCATGCCAGAAATTGATGTGAGTGATTGGATAAAAAATACAGAATACACAAGTGGCTATGAAAGAAAAGATCCAGTTATTCAGGTAAAATCTCTCTGGAGCTTAGAATGAAGTTAAGTTTTGCTGTTTAATTTTGTAAGCTTTTTAGCACTACTGGATGAGAACCTACATTAATTAACAAGTAAAATTTTTTCCTAAATTCTTCTTGTGGGAATATTACATATGAAAGCTTTGTAGGAAATCATTTTTGATAAGTGAGTTTTATAAAATAAAATATGCTTTATGAGTATTGCATATTTCTCTGGTATTAAGTACACAGTTGCTCTGAAATGAACTAAGTTTCTTTTTGCATTGTTGTTAGTGGTTCTGGGAAGTTGTCGAAGACATTACTCAAGAGGAGAGAGTTCTTCTTTTGCAGTTTGTTACTGGCAGGTAAGAAGTGTTTTTATGATAATATGGAAAGAATATAATGTATTCAGTTTTAATGGCTTAGAGATAACCAGAATGAAGAATTATTATTCTGAATTGTATCTTTCCATTATTAATTCATATGAAAATATAAAAATAGTGGAAAGGTGCTTTCCTTTCTATTATTTTAGGTATGAAACAAAGATTTATTTAGGTATTAAAGAGAAAATATTTATAATAGTGCTCAGTAAGTGTTTATTTAATGTATAAAACATAAATAATTCCACTCAGGGCTATCAGTATATTGGATTTTATAATTTGGTAATTTTTTTATTCTGCAGGTAGGTGAATGATAGTAGCCAAAATTTTAATATTTGTATGTTGCTGGTTTGATTTAATAGTAAGTATATTCAAGGGTGGAGCACAGAGGATTTTTAGGACAGCAGAACTATTCTGTATGATACTATAATGGTTAAATACATGACATTATGCATTTGGTAAAGCCCATAGAACTGTATAATGCAAAGAGGGAACCCTAATATAAAGTTAAATTAATATTGATTCATAATCCATACACTAATGGAACATATTTATAATAGAAACTATATATATGTGGGTGGGGGAGGGTATAGGAACTATCTATACTTCCTGCTCAATTTCTCTGTAAAACTAAAACTGCTATGAAAATAGAGGGGGGGAAAAAAAAGAAAATAGTAAGGATATTCAGTTTTCCCCGGAAAATGCATGAAAGCACATATATTACCCATATACAGTATTTTTTTTTTTTTGGGTCTTTTGTCTTTTTCCATGTCCGGCAACGGATTGCAACCCTCAGTGTTGCCCCCGTACCGGACCGGGGACTGGCAACGGGATCGCAACCCTCGGTGTTGCTCCCGTGCCTCGCTCAGCCAGTGAGCGGGAACCGGTCTGTATGTGGGATCCGAACCCTCAGGCGGGAGCGCCGCCGCGCTTCCCAAGCGGCGCACTATCCAGTGCGCCACCAGGCCGGCCCCCATATACAGTATTTTTTCCTCCAATTATTATCAACTTTAAAGTGTCAAGATTAATAACCTAAAACATAATTTGTGATACACATTTCTTTGAAAAGTCTACTTTTGCAACCAATTAAATATAATAGATATTAGAAAACTAGATGATTTAAACCTCTTTTAACTTATGTTTCTGAAAGATGTAAAAAAAGTGATTTTCATTTTTGATAACTTAGAATTTCATGTTTCCTTCTATTTTTGAAAATGTAGTTCAGTTTTTCCATTATAAATGTACACAGTTCTTCTAGGAAAGCTGGAAAACACAGAAATTAGAGAAAGAAAAACCACCCCCTGCCAGCAATAAATAACCACTATGAACAATTTGATGTATTTACTTCTATTTATTTTTTTCTGTATATTTAAAAACATAATTGTGTGTGTATATATAAATATAAATATATATATAATTTTTTCCCCCTTTTTTTTGTCTTTTTTACTGACCGGTAATGGGATCGCAACCCTTGGTGTCGCGCCCGTACCGGGAACCGGCAACGGGATCGCAACCCTCAGTGTTGCGCCCGCACCGCGCTCAGCCAGTGAGCAGGAACCGGTCTCCACATGGGATCTGAACCCTCGGCAGGAGCGCCGCCGCGCTCCCAAGTGGCACACTCTCCAGTGCGCCACCGGGCCGGCCCAAATATATATATAATTTTTTAATGAACATTATTTTCATATTTTAAAAGTAGTACATAACCATTGTGAAAAATTTGGAAAATGGCAAAAATAGAAGAAAATGAAAATCCCATTAACTAATTTTACTATTCAGAGATAACCTCAACTAATGTTTTGTTTTATTTTGTTAGTCTTTTAACTATATAATTAGAAAATTAGTTGGAGTCACACTGTAGGTCTAATTTTAAAGAGGAAATAACACATGACTATTCACAAGTTGTAGACTAAAGATATGAAAAAAAACCTTATTATTAGGATTTTTTTGTTTTGTTTTTGCCTCTGAGTGCCAAGAAATACTCAAGATGTTTAAGTAATTTAATAAAAAGATTAAACAATAATTATATTTTCTATGTAGGAAGGTTAGATAATTCAGGTAGGAAAAAAACCCACCCCTAATCTGAATCCATATTGATAGTCATGGTTAACATTTGGTGATTTTTCTAAAACTGTTCTCACATATATGAAGTTTTATTTTTATTTTTTTGTCTTTTTTCGTGTCCGGCAACGGATTGCAACCCTCAGTGTCGCACCCGTACCGGACCAGGACCGGCAACGGCATCGCAACCCTCGGTGTCGCGCCCGCACCTCGCTTAGCCAGTGAGCAGGAACCGGTCTGTATGTGGGATCCGAACCCTCAGCGGGAGCGCCACTGCGCTCCCAAGCGGTGCACTGTAGCAGTGCGCCACCGGGCCGGCCCTGAAGTTTTACTTTTTAAAGTCATTGTTCCTATTTTATTACTTTTTGAATTTAGCAATATATCATTAAAAATTGTTTCAGTTAGAGACCTGTATAATTTTTTAAATGGCTGCCTATTCCATTTATGGAGCTTCCTTAATTGGTCTTATCCTTTATTGCTAAATTTTCCTGTCAATGAATAATGCTGTACAGATAAGGAATGGTTGTGCTTATATTCTGTGGGGCAGTGTGGTTATTTATATAGGATAGATTCTAGAAGGGAAATTTTTGGATGTGACATGTAAATTTTCACAACCTTTACACATTGTTCATTTGCCTTCCAGAAAGATACCAGTATTGACATCAGCAGAGAATGAGAGGACTTATCTCTTTTATTTTGTTGATACAGGGTGTAATCATTTTTATTTTCATGTAATTTCTTATCATGTATATATTTTTTTCTGTGTGATATGAATTGTCTGACTTTATTCATTGCCCGTTATTCCACAGTCATTTTTTTTTTTTTTTTTTTTTTTTTTTTTTTTTTTTCTTT